GGATGATCTTAAAGGTCTTTTCTAACCTAAACGATTCTATCTCCATCTCCTCAGTGGACATACATATGTACATAGTCTACATACTATGGGCAGATACTTGAGTCTGGGAGTCTGGCAGGCTGAAAGGACTGCCTAATTGCAGCAGAGCTTTGGAAACTTGCCCATCTTGCCTCCTTCCACTGTCCTGGGGCAGCTCTCACCTTTCTGATGGCACATTAAGCATCACTGCCCAGAGCTATTCAATTCCATTCACTATCCTTCATCAAGTTCCCTTTCCTTGAAAGGAAATTGGAGACCTTTTTTTTAAGAATGCTCTTTGAAGACAGAAGTGGCATGTCTGAGTGCACTTGGGGAGCTATTACAGGAATACAGAGAAAATGTTTCTGCACAGAGATCGCTTTTTCCACACCCAAGGAGATTTTTTTCAAGCAATGTGGTATGAGGATGGCAGTTCTCTTGCTTCTGATTCTTTGTTCTAGGATCAGACACTGTTAAGTGAGCTATCCATCTTGATGCAAAGTCATTGCTGTTAGTGGATTGAATTATTGTGAGCAGAAATGCCCTTTACTGGTCTAGGAAACATACAGATGGGGAGGAATCTACCAGCAGAATATATTTGTCTAAATGAAAAAGATTCTCAGTTCCCAGGAGGGTTCCACTTAATAAATCATGAGCAGAGTATAGATATTTATGGTATGACTTGCAAAGACAAATATCAGTTTGGGGAGATGGCAGATGGTATCACTTAATACTTACCAAACTTTTAGTCATCAACAATACAATGCAAACAAATACGTAAAGTAAGACAGAACCTCTACGTTAATGCTGCCTCTTTGAGGTATTATTTTATATGGGATGCCTGTGTCCTGCCTCCCAAGCAAATGCTTTGGACCCTCAGCTACCATTTTTCTGAGTTGGGAAGCAGGCTCACTGCTGTTCCTCCTCACAGGCACCTGTAACACAGGCCAGAGAAGCACTGCCCACCTGCTGGCCTCCAAGACCTAGATGGTCACAAAATCTGAGCTTGTGTGCAAGAGCTGATTGCACCCCACACTGCAACGTGCACTGAGAATATTGAAGAACTGCGATTGGCATGGGATGAGCAGTTATCCCATCAGGTTTTGTTAGATGATTGTCAGGGAGAGTTGTACGAGATTTCTTGTAAAGATAATTAGTTCTGGGAAACTTCATTGGTGTAGGAGGGAGTAGAAACACTGTTTTAATCTGCTTTCAAGCGGTTTTTACTGAAGCAAATTCTAAAGGCAAAAGCCATGTATTTGAAGGCAAAAGGAGATTGCATTGTCTCTGTCATAAGGCTGTATTTTAAAGCTTTTGGTGTTTATAGCCTTGGTGTTGGAGTTTTAGATCTTAAAAATCCTGATTTATATGGTTGCTGATCCCTATGTTAAAAGTCCTTATGATATATGAGATAGTAGATACCTGTTCTGGTTCTGTTTTAGAAATGGTTAAAAAGTGGCCATCAGCAGATAAGTGTAAACAATTTCTTTTTTACAGCAGTGTAGTAAAACTAAAGATAATGGATAACTTTTCCTGGGGAAATAAGTGCTAAATATAAAATTAGGAATACTGAATCCCTAGTATGTTTCCTGGGGAAAAAGCACATGGCAGCTTATTTAATGTTATAGAAGAGTGTAAACATATAAATTGGTAGGTGTGATTAAAGTTCTTTATGCAAATATGTTTCTTTAGTTGTTTTTCACCGATATCTATGCTACCTTTTATGTACTATAATGATATTATTTCAGAGCTCTACATCCACCATGTTGCCCTGTGGACCAGCTTTGTCCTTTGTTCAGTGTCTGGTGCGGAAGAAGAATGTCAGTGGTGAAAGTCCTGAGGACTCCAAGTTGTGCCGATGCTTATCAACGGTGGACCTTATAGCCCTGGGAGTAGGAAGTACCCTTGGTGCTGGTGTTTATGTCCTTGCTGGAGAAGTAGCCAAATCCGATTCTGGACCTAGCATCGTTGTTTCTTTCCTCATTGCTGCGCTGGCATCTGTGATGGCAGGTCTCTGCTACGCTGAGTTTGGTGCTCGCGTTCCCAAGACTGGTTCTGCGTATTTGTATACTTACGTAACTGTCGGTGAACTGTGGGCTTTTATCACTGGTTGGAATCTCATTTTATCCTATATTATAGGTAAGCTTAAGAGCAAACAAAGGTCTTGAGGGTTTCTGAGACAGCAGATACAAGATAGGGATTTGGGTCTGTCTTTTCTGTCTCTGTACTTAGCTACTATTGCTTTTTACTCCTGCTGGGATCAAATAACCAAGGTAATTTGATTAAGTTATTTCCTCCTGTGCATCACCATTGTAAACAGATTTTGTACAAGATGCTTTTGCAAACAGTCTGTCTTCAGAATAACTTGTATGAAAATCGTGTCAGACAGTTCAGTGATGATGCACAAGAATAAACAGGATTCCTTTGCCATCTTTGGTCACCAAGAATAATTTCAGTAAAATCAATAAGCATATTTTTTTCTAAATATACACAGCAAGGACATTTACAGGGACCCCATCACTATAGTATCTCAATTTAAGAAAGTCATGAAGTTTAAGTACTAACTTGTTAATATAACCTCATGTTAATTAAATGGTGTCCTATCATGTAATCCCATAAAATACAAAGTTGACCAGATCTGAATAAAATCAATGCTTATATGGCGGATATTCAAATAACTATTTCAGTGCTTCAGCAGAGACAACTTTTTTGATTCAAAAATGTTTTCTTCCAGAGGTATGTGTTCCAAGCATCCATTATATTGTGTATAGGCACGCCTAGCTGTATATGTATACCTAACTACAGGACTGCTGCCCAACTCACTACAAAATCAATATGCCTGAGTATTGTATTGAAGTGTATTTCATGATAGGAGAGTGGTAAAAATAAGGTTGTATTTAGCTGTGGCCACATACATGCTTTACCAGAGGAGAGTATTAGTCTTAAATACTGCCTCCAGCAATATAGGTCTTCCGAGTGATTTTGTTGCTTTACTTCCAGGTGAACAAACTTTCCTTCATGTTCTTTCTTAAACTGCTTTCTTACATTGCTTTATATTGTTTAATGTATGCCATATTGTAACTTTAGAAATAAGTGTCTTCCAGGATGACATCAAATATAAATGATACAGAAATAATTTCTGCAATATTTTGGGAATCAATGAGGTACAAATTTATATATTTTAGTTGTAGAGCAATATGTTATCATTTAATGATGCAGAAAAATTCTATAATGTTAAAATCTCTTGGCAAAAAAAATCACTGTTTTAACACAAGCTCTGCTTTTTAAAATGCAAGTAGTGACATGCTTAGTTTTATTTGTTTTCAGTGGAAGTAACTGTATCCTTCTAGGTATGCAAAACCCTAAACTTGCATGTGTTTTATGAAGGTACATCAAGCGTAGCAAGAGCCTGGAGTGGCACCTTTGATGAACTTCTTGGAAAACAGATTAGTCGTTTCTTCGGAACCTACTTCAAAATTAATTACTCTGGGCTAGCAGAGTATCCTGATTTCTTTGCTGTATTCCTTATATTGCTTTTATCAGGTAAGACACATATATGGCTTCATTTATGGTGGCTGTGATGTCAGAGTGTTTCTTACAGACAAAAATGCTAAATTCTAGTTTGTGTTTTATCAGAAATATGTCTGAAATGTTTAAATGTGCATGTGTGTATGGACACAATGACTCTGGGAATTAAATTTATATAATCTAATTTTCATGTGTACCCTTTTTTTTTTTTGAAGCTGAGACATGAAATTATCACTTGTCAGTACTTTTTTATAAAACCCATGATGCAGATTGATGATAACAAGAAAATTATACAGTTTTGTGTGGTTTTTATGGCTTTATCACTCGTGAATGCTTTCAGAGCATTTGAGGTTAAGCTCTGTAGTTTGGTAATGTGATGTGCTCTCCTTAAATCACATATTGTGTACATAGTGGGTATTTTAAGGGGGTTTTCACCTCTAAATTGTTAACTTATTCAGTATAAAATAACTCCCCCCTTTTTAAGTCTTCAAAAGAGTTGTCTAGCCTAGAACTTGTTTGAGCTAAAGGGCACTCCAAGGTACTGGCATGGCCCAACAGACCAGTTTGAAACCTGAGTGAACTTTTCATGACTACTGCACTCAGTTCTGTTTCTTTTACATCTTTACATGTATCATGTTTTTAAATTGCTAAAATTGACACCGGCTTTTTGAGGGATTAGAAAGCTCGAAAATACTGCAACTTATTTGCATGTTTGCATTTAACACTTGCTTTCCACAAGGAAACATTCTTACTGCCACCAGGAGAGAAGGAAGCAGTATGTGTATTCTAAAGTGTATAGTTTGTTTTCAGCCAGTACTAGAAGCATTTCAGTATTCAGTAGAGGTCTTACCTATATCTCAAATATTTGTTGTGTCTCTCTTTAGATCAGAAAAAAGCAGGAGCTTTTTTTCTCTGGAAAGTGAAACTGCTAAGTTAGATGGGTATAACATTCTGTTCTCTTATTCTGTTATGAGGTGCTTTATTTGGACTGACTACTTGAGAAAAAAATTTCCATTCAACTCCTAATGCTAGAATGAGTGGCCAGTGCATCCTAAGCTTTTATTAGGTCTCTACATAAAAACATGAGTACCTACAGTAGCAAGCCTTAATTTACGGCTGTGCTTGTATCTTCATATAATCATAGAATGCTTTGGGTTGGAAGGGACCTTTA